AGGGAGTGGGGGGCAGGGGGAGAAATAAACCAAGCCTTGTATGCACATATGAATAATAAAAGAAAAATGAAAAAAAAAAAAAGAAAAAAAGAATATCTGCACCAAAGCCAACTCCAAGTCCCTGGGGAAGTTAAATTGGCCACAATATTTTCTCACAGGATGCTAGAAGGCATAGCTGCTCGTTTTGATTGTTCAGTGCTAAAAGAATAAATTGTAGGGAAGTCCATGCTCCTTTTCACAAGTTGATCTTTTAGTTATCAAACGTTGCCTCTAATTATAAATTGGGTTTTTATAGGAAACAGTATAGGATTGTTTGATTGTTTGAAAGACTTAGTAATATTACCAGAAATGCCCCCAGGGACACAAAATTACTGTAAGAAGTTTCGTAATTCATGTATATGAATTTCTGTCTGTAGAGTGAAAAATTAATTTCTGTCTGTAGAGTGAAAAATGGGTCTCATATCCATGAAGGCTGTGGATGCTACAGTGGTAAATAAAATATGAATTTATTTCCAACTATTGAACTCAATAATTTTTTGTTATTTTGCATTTTCCTAATGAGTAGAAAATGAAACAGCCTCAAGGTGGAGAGCAGAGTTCTAGCTGTTCAAAGTTAGTTTGTACGTGACCAGGTTTCATCAATCAGTAGTGACTAAAGTGAATCCAGAGAATGACAAATTGGGGTGACAGGCCATGGGGACACAAGAAAAAGGGTGGCACAGGCAGAGTGGCAGAGGAACAGGGACAGTGCCTATAGAGCTATTAGGAGAAGACTCAGAGTAGGGGGGAGAAAACATGCAGTGCCCAGCTGTGTACTGTCCCTCTGAGGTGGCTGTCCTTAGCCACAAAGGACAGTTTTAGCTCAGGTGCAGGTGTTTCCTTTAGAGCTAAACTTAGAAGTAAAAGCGCTCTTGCCAAACCCATTGGTTCATCAGAACTGCAGAAGGAGTATAAGTGTTGTAATTTTTGTTACTAATTTTAAAACCACCTTTAAATTGTGGGGAAAACAAAACAAAGAAATACAATCCATGCAAATAAAGCAACAGCACAATCCTAAACAGGTTTCTTTTTCCTCAGCTTGAATACAAACAGCTGTAATTCTAGGGGAGATGTCAGATAATTCGAAGCTATTAGCAAAGTGGGTCTCAAAGAAAAGATAGGACATTAAGAAAACCATAGAATTCTTTTAATAATGCTGCAAACTATTTGCTACTGTATGTAGACAACATTGCATATAGGAAAACCCTTTTCATTTTCATTTTATCGTTTTTACATTTACTTACATGTGTATACATTATTTGGGCCACCTCCCCTGTTCCTTTCTGGGCAGAACCTGTTCCACCCTCTTGTTCTCTGATTTTGTTGAAGAGAAAACATAAGAGATAATAAGAAAGATATAGTATTTTTGCTAGTTTGAGATATAGCTATACAGAGAGATTCCTAGCATTGCTTCCATGCACATGTGTGTTACAACCAGTTGGTTCATCTCTACCTGACCTCTTCTACTTCCTAGTTCCCTTCCCATAGTGGCCTCTGTCAGTTTAAGATTACTTTATTCACTTCTATACAGTAAGCACATCAACTACATTCAAGTTTTAGGTTTCCTTTTCTTTCCTTATTCCTCCATGTGTGTTCTCCCCTTAGTGTGTGACCCATGTCCAAGAATATTTCTGAATTTGTTTTAGGTCTATATTCTGCATATGAGGGAGAACATAGGAAAACCCTTATAAAATGAGCAATGGTGCCCTGTTGGTCATCTGGTAGAAGGAACCTACTAATTTTCTAAGTGTTCCATTGCACTTCAAATGTACTTGATATTGCTTCCTAATATTCTCTTCTGAAACACAGAATTAGGTGTTAAAATAAAATGAGCAGGTAAAACATCTTGAAGAAACTGAACAAAACAAAACAAAAATAAAAACCAAAGAGAAATCTTCCCTCCTGGGTCTCAGCTGGTGGCCAATGGTAAGGAAAAGCATGGCTAGTAAGCCTGCAGTGCAGGAAGATGGGACATACAAAAAACCACTTCCTCTTCCTGACCTTTTTCTTTAGGCAACCAGAGTCTAGACGGGTGTCCTGGATAATGACATAATCAACATTTCAATGGCATTAATACCAGCTACAGCCCTGCGGGAAAATGTCTCATGTTTCTTATTAACCAACCCAAAGGAGAATTCTCAGAGGGAAAACAATAGAAAAAACTGGCAGGTATTTTTATTAAAAAAAAAAAAAAAACCTAAGAAGCCCTATTATAAAATATTCAGAGTAATTAATAAAATATTTATAATAAAGTCCATTTATGGCTTTCTGAGGTGATTTTTAAAATTTTACTCTAAGAAGATAATAATTAACCATTTTACACTATCCATCTAAGTGATAATAGCATTGTTGTCTGCAAACCAAGCACATATTTTTAGTAGAGAGAAATATATGCAATGGGATTCCAACTCCTAAAATACCTATGCTTTACAATAAAGACTCAACATAAATACAGCAAAATATTAGTCCCCGCCGTTTCTCAGCAGGAGGATTATATTTGCATTTTGTTCATATTCCAAATATTGAACAACAATCATGCATTGTTTTTATGACCAAGAAAAATAATATTTTAAAAGATAAAAGTTTTAAGTGCTGCAGAATAAGTATCTTAAAATATGTAATCTCAAAATAGTGCTGAGGTTTAAGGAGCATATGCCCTTTTCAAGTGGTGGACAAAAGGCCTGTGTGACACATAGGCCTGAGTCCTGTTTAGTGTAAGGGAAACTGAATCCAGATTTCAAAGTCTGAAGACCTGGACCTGAAACAGGGTTCTCATTTTTTAAATAAGTTGTTGAAATGTGAAGAGCCTCTGTGAAATAGAGTTTGAAGTATTCAAACCAAATAAAAAATAAATGAAAAGATACAATATGATTTAAAAAATAGTATACCAGAAGAATAAGAACTTTAATAAAAAGTCCTTGATTTCTTTGAGATCTCATTTATCTTCATCCATAGAATGAAATCATGTATGCATACTGGCCAAGTGCCCAGTACACAGCAGATGCTAAAAAGTGTACCCCAGATTTTGTTCTAGGATGTACATGGCTGTGGGGAGGGGAGCTACAGTTCACAGGGCTCCTCCACTTACTATCTGTGGAAAAGGGGAACCACATGGTCAAAGATTCTGATTCTAAATTGTTAAGATTCTGCAACGTTTTGAATTTCATCTTTTGTCATTTTTGTTGTTTCCCGAGTGTGCTTTAAGAACAACAACCACCACAAAAAACCTTAAAATGAAAATGAGTTCTCTTTAGGATTACCAAGAATAAAAGAAAATTTATCCCACATTTGATCTGGATAGAAATTTTTTTTTTTTTTTTGCCTGATAGAAGTTTTAACTTTCTGGGAAGAAGTAAGTGACCCGGATAAAAACATAAGCAATTTTTCTTTTTGAGACAGAGTCTCACTATGCAGTCCAGGCTGGCTCTGGATCCTCCTGAGTGCTGGGATTACAGAGGTGCACCACTATACTTGACAAACGTAAGAAATTCTAGGATAATGCGGGGGCCGGAGGCTCACGCCTGTAATCCTAGCTATTCAGGAGGCACAGATCAGGAGGATCACGGTTTGAAGCCAACCTGAGCATATAGTTCCGCGAGACCCTATCCCTTTTGTGAAAACCCTTCACAAAAATAGGGCTGGTGGGAGTGGCTCAAGGTGAAGGCCCTGAGTTCAAGCCCCAGTACCGCAAAAAGAAAAAAAAATTCTAGGATAAACCTAAACCTAAATTTTCTGTGGAACCTAGCTCTCTTCTCGCCAAGCTGTCAGTCAATAGTCTAGTGACCTTTAAGTAAAGTTACTTTTCTTTTTGTATCTAAACTTTTTTTTCTCTGTAAATGTCTCTGCCTAGAGAAAAATTAGGAACTGGCTTTGCTCTTGCAGCAAGATTGTGATAAAGCTTTGACACGTGCCCATCACAGAATTGATTTGTTGTTTTTAACCAAGGAAGGAGAGGCTGTAATTTCTGAGCGTCTCATATGGAGGCAGAAGAGCCCCAAAGGGCAGGCTAAGTGATTCATGGTGGCTTCTAGAAAGAAAAGCAGAATATTCCGGCTCTGAGGACAGCTGTACACAGAGGTTAGCTGTCGGATGGGAAAGCCAATACCTCCCTCGCAGGCCTGGCTGCACCAGGGCTTTTGCAGAGCTGGGGGTGTTAAGGAAGCCAATTTGAAGATCGAATGAACGAGTGGAGGAAGCAGCACAATGCAGTTTGGTTTTGTTTGCATCTCGGCCAATCAGATGTTTACTATTTAGAAAAAAATACCCTTGAATGGTTTAAAAGACATCAGTTAGTTTTAGATATCCTTCACTTCTTTTTCCTCCCAGATTCACTCTTCACCAAGGGTTGCTCATACAAGTCAGACACTAAGGAATTCATTTATAGGGCTAGGGGTGTGGTGGCAAGCTCAAGGCCCCGAGTTCAAACCCTAACAACCTAAAACAAAACCAAGAAATCCATTTACAGACTTAGATTTAACATAAGACAAATCAAACTCAAAATTTTTCTCGTAATATAACAAAGACACCCCCCCCCACTGGCCCTCTTCCCCCACCTCTCCAGTGCCCTGGCCCAGTCCTCCTCAGGGAAGTAGGACGTGTGTCCTTTTGAGGCTTAACCTTCCATTTTGGTATGTTTCCACTTAAATTCAATGGGATCCCCTTCGGGTTATGTTTGACGGCATCAAAAACTTCCAGCGATGCCCGCAACGGTGTCCTGTCCCGGGTCACATTATCCGAAGGAAACAAACTGTTATAAAATCCTGCTTAACTTCCCCTTCCCCGCTTCATCCCGCGCCCGAGCCCCGTCCGGGACCCGCGCGCCGCGCCGTTCCCGGACGACGCCGCGAGCGCGGGGGGCCGGGCCGCGCCGAGGGACCGGGCGGGCGCCGCCCATCCCTGCAGATGCCGGGGGTGTTTCGCCGGCCGCCACGAAGCGACTGCCACGTCAGGACAACTTCACAAAACCCGGCCGAGGCGCGTGACGCAAGCGGGCGGCCGCGGCGGGGTTGGGCCCGCGGCCAGACGAGCAGGCCGACCTGCAGCCCGGGCGCCCCGTTCTGCGACGCCCCGGCCGGCGCCGGTGCCTGCCCGGCCGGCCCTCGGGAGGCGGAGAGCAGCGGAGGAGGCGGAGCCCGCGCCGCGCTCACACCCCCACCGCCCGGCCGCAGTCGGGCTGGACTGGGCGGCGTGAGCCGAGGCCTCCTCGGCCAGGCCCTGTTGGCCGGAGCCCGAACTGAGACCCGGGCGGCGGCACCTCCGAGAGTGGGCCGCGGGCCGCCATGGAGACGCGCTACAACCTCAAGAGCCCGGGTGAGCAGGGGCTGGGCGGCGGGAGGGACCGGGGCTCCGGGGCCAGCGCGTCCGCCCCTTGCGGCGGCGCCCCGGTATCGCGCTCTACGCTAGGCCGCCGCCTGCCCCGAGCTGCAGGCCGCAGGGCGCGGTGGACCCCACACGGCCGGACCTCGACCCGCCCGCGCCCCTCTGCACCGCCCGCCCTCCGCGCCGGCGCGCCTTCGCGCCCCGGAACAGGTGTAAAGGTGACGGCCCCGCTGGACCGCAGCCTCCGCATGGCCGAGGTTCCCCCGCCGCTGCCGCCGGACGGGTGCTAGTTGTTGGACTCACATCGAGGATTTCGTCCTTTAAGTATCCCATTTGTAGCATTTCAGACATAAAGGAAAGATGCCGTAGCCAAACTAGCTAACCAGTTGAACTAGTTTGATTCTACCACTTGAGAACTACCCATGATTTTTGTCCTAAAGCGGCTAATGTGATAAGGATGAATTCAGTCCTAGAGAGCTGTTTCCTTGCATTCGGTGACCCCAGCAAGCAATCCTAGTCTTCAGCTAGGAGGCATTGAAAAAAAAAAAAAGAGGAAGAAAAGTAATCAGCTCTCTCATATGAAGACTGAAATGAATCACTGGCTTCTATTAAATGGCATTTACTTGATTTGTACTTTCTCAGGAGGAAGAAACTCTCCAGGTCAGCTCGGAATGATAAATTCTAGAATGTTAGTGACAGTTTGATCAACTCTTGCAGCTGCTTTAATGTCTTCCCCCAAAAACTGCTGCTCAGACTAGCATCCTTATGGAAAGAGTTGACACTGTGAATATCTGATTTTTAAAAAATATTACGGGTCTGGGGATGTAGCTCACTGTTAAGAGTGCTTGCCTAGCATGTGCAATGCCCTGGGTTTGATCCCAAGCACCGCCCCAAAATTATACATATAATAATTTATATATTATATATACACATGCATATAAAATTATATATAATAATTTATATATTATATATACTCATGCATATAAAACTATAATTTATATATTATATGTACACATGCATATAAAATTATATATATAATTTATATATTATATATACACATGCATATATATATATGTGTGTGTATACATATATATGTATGTGTGTATATATACACAGTTAGTCCAGAAAAGCCTGAGGATACTGATTGAGCAGAGGTTTGTTAGCCTGAGTGCTGTCAGGTCAGAAATGTCTTAGATGACCAACTATGTAGATTGAGTCATAATATTTTGGGGACTATAGATTCTTTTAAAAACTTGGTGAAGACTGTGGTCTCTGCAAGAATGACATTTCTACAATTCAATTTCAGTGAGTTCACAATCTACCTCCAGCCCATCACTTAACCTAGGAAGGAAAAAAGGTCAAAGAGAAAGGGAAAGAAAAGCTTAATTTTTAATATTCAGTGGTAGGATGATTGAATTATTTGGATCGTGATAAAAACTATGTGGTAAAATTGTGACTCCTTGGTCACATGGTTCTTTAGACTGGAACAGGTACTTAATGGACTAGCCAGAGGATAATGCAGTGTGAGTAGTGGGATGGGGAACTGGTGGTTGTCAGAGGACATTGCTCAGTTTTAATTGTCATAGTTGAGATTCTGATGATAAACTTTAAAGTCCTCCAGAATTTTGTACATTTGCCAAATATGTGACCTACTACCAACTAGTTGAGCCTTGGTTGACATTCTTTAGTTGGTTCAGAAATTGCATCCTCTTTTTGGTTTCATTTCCTGGAAGGTGGTATTGCTGTTCTAAAATCAGTTTTTGTACAAATATTTTTTATTTATTGAGTGGATCATTTGGTGTTCATGGAGAAGGTGAATTAGATGAGATATGGGACTTTCTGAAAATACTGGGAGACATAGTGCAAATGCTTCCTCCCTTTGTTTTATTTTCAGACCTTGGTATTTTTAGAGTAATGACTACGTGAAAGGAAGTGATTAAAAACATCACACATCTTCTGTCTGCTATCTTAAAGGTATAGATGAGAAAATTCAGTGAAATCCATATAGATAATTGGTTAAAGGGCAGTATACTTGCATGTAGGCAGTAAAATGTTCATTTCATAGGTGGGAAAACTATAGTACTTACGGTTTTTCTGGAATGGACTTGTGATTGTGGACAGAGCTCTTTGTAAGGCCACTTCCTAAACCTCGACTGACCTATCAGTGACTGTCTCTGGATCAACTGGGTCTCCTTTGACCAAGATAGTAGAGTCAAGTAGTACAAAGTAGGGAGATGAGTGTTTAAAGAACCTCCTTTGGCAGCTTTCTCAGAAGGGGGAGGTAGGTGATGGGTGCATAGGAGACAGGTACAAAAGTACCCAACCTCCACCAGAAACTTGGGAGTTATTTTGTCCTTCCTATTGCCATCAGCTGCACCTTCATAGGAATCATCCTTAAGCTTTTCTGCTCAACTGAGACCCGTCTTCCAACTATGGACATATGGTGACTGACTCAGCGTCTTCACACAGATTTCCATAGGTTGAAAAAGGTGTATAAAAGCAAACTCATGGGGTTTCTCAACTCCTCCAAACTTGCGCCTTCATTCACCTAATTCTCCTTACCACAGGGATTGGCACCACTCAGGCATCTATGGGAGTCATCCCCTTCCCTCCAACCCAAGGCCTAGAGCAGTTTGCCACTGAGCTATACCTTGACTTCTTGTTCAACTCCTTTGCTCCACTTCTACTGTGAAACATGGAGCACACATACACGTACCGTCCGTTTTCACCAGATCAATTACAACAAAAACTTATTAGATCACTTTTCAAATTGAAAGTTTTCAGTAGTGTCCTGATAGTTGTGGGTAAAGTTCAAAGTGAACTGCTTAACACGGTATACAGGGCTGCTTAAGATTTGATCCTTGCCTTCCTCACCAGCCTCCTTACCCTCCTCTCTTAGACGCCTTGGCATTTTCACACTTTCCATTTTGCCTGAACCACTCTCTAGATGGAGTGGCTTTCTCACTTCCATGTTCTGGTTCTGGTTCTGACTGGAACCTCTGCTTGGAATGCCTTCCCTTGAATACATCTGAAATTACTATTAATTCTTCAACTTCTTTAAGCTTCAGCGGTGCTTAGCTTCTCTAGGCATACTAAGGTAGTCCGTATCCGATACTTGGTCAGTATCAGATCTACACTGTGTTGTAACTGTTTTCATGTCTTTCATGTACTTACCATATACTTACTGAGGGCAGGAAGCAGGTTTGGGTCATTCTCTGTTTCCAACACTGGGATACTCCAGATGTTTGTCGAATGGAAACCTGTGCAGAGTCTTTCTGGGCAGAAACATTAGTCCTTAACGTTTGCTGTCGTGCTTCATTGTGGAAGCAAGACCAGGCAGGTGAGAAGAATCACATTGGGTTCACATCCTCCTCGACTTGCTGCTTCCTCAATTTCATGCATGCCTTGGGAACTGATGGTATCAAGATATTTGCTTTCCAAGAGAAACTGATATTAGGGAGACGGGGACCTATAAAAGATTCCTGTATTTCTAAGTGGTGCTAGCTCCAAACCTTAATGCAAGCTCAGTGAGTTAACCCCTGCACATGAAGCGAGCTGATCCAGACGCATGTTGCTTAGAGCTTTGATTCATAGTGATCATGTGGCTTCTGTAAGAAGCAAGAGGAAATGTAGTGATGGAGGTGCCATCCTGCTCTTTCCTTGGCTTATCTTATCCCACCATAGTGAGAAGCCTCCATGGAAACAATCTCGCAAAGAGACGAGGAGCTAGAGTGAAAAGGTTTCCTCTGTAGCATGTGGGGGTAGAGATAGGATATCAGGAGGAGCAGACTGTGCTCCGGCCCTAGTTGCCAGGCAGCACCTTGAACTTTGACTAAGGACAAGTGAAATTGTCCTTAGGAGCCAGAGGAGCCATGCCATAAGCTATGTTGAGGCCTGACTTTGAACCAGGGACAACCACGAAGAAGTGATTGCCTTTTTTTTTTTTTGGTTGTGCTGGGGATGGTACCTAGGGCCTGGTAGGCAAACACTCTACCATTGACCTATCCCTCCAACCCTATCCAACCCTATTCTAGTCCATTTTTAACCTTTATAACTCATGACCTTAGGCATAGGGAGGGGGTGAAACTTAAGAAGGGGCGGGAAGAAAAGGAGAATTGTTGACTTATATTTGACAGGTGTAAACATTGAGTCACAATATGATTAAGTGACTTGTTCAAGGACTTAGGAGCTACAAAATGTCAAAGTCAGAATTGTAATGCAGCTCTAAGTCTGGAATCTCTATTCTTGTTCCCTAAGGTATTCATAATACCTTATTTCTGGAAAAAATAGATTATGAACACCCTCGATTAATGTTACCTGCTTGGCTATGCGGCTGTAACTGTCTCATGGTATTTGCCTATGTGGTCCAGGAACTAATAAAATCAGCATATTTGGTTGTTGAGTCAATGATGGTTATTCCTTTTCAGGATTGGAACAAATGCATTGTAACAATAAAGACCCTTTCATACATCTTTCATAATATCTGGTATAACTATTGGGTATTTATTTTCTTCTCTCCTATTGAACCTTGTTGGGTGGGAAGGAACAAATGTGGTAAAACATGACTTCTTCAGCTTCTTAATCATTGTTGTATTCAAGTAGCTAATGAAGGAAAACAGTATCTGGCATTTTTGATTGCTGACAGCAGCCAAACGACTTAACTTTGTAAGAACTTCCTTGATTTTATTTATCTTAGGTAATATTAACTTAAAAGCATGAGATTTTCTGTGGCTTTAAGTAGGGGTTTTCAATCTTTGTTCCATGGGCCCTTGCAGGAGTGAAATGTATGGAAGGGGAGTAGAGTTTGAAGGCCTTTCCACCCTACCCTTCAGCCACCAGGGGTTCTCATTCAGCTTTTCTTTGAGCAAAGAATTTGTCTTATGTCAAGTAAGTTTGAAAACAATTTTCTTTAATCAGATTCGTGGAAAGAGATATATTAGAAGATGTTAACATTCAGTTCAGCCAGTATTTAAGCTTTGAAGAGAATGCAGCCAAGTAAAAGTAGATACTTACTGGTTTTTTGTTTTTTTTTTAAGCAGGAAAGACAGATGTTAAATGGAACTATAAGAGAGAGACTATCATGAAAGGTAGAATACAGTGTCATGATGGTATGGTACCAACAGCTTCAACCTTGTCTCCTTGGCAGTGGTTTCTAAACCTGACTGACTATTAGAATCATCTGGAGAGCATTTATAGTCTCTACTCCTGCCCAGAACTCTTCAGACATTTACCTGCCCAGACAGAACTCTCTAGTCACTCCTCTGAGGTAGGAGTTACTTGATGGTCTTGAATGTGGGAACCAGTCTAAGTGATGCTGGAGGTCGGAGCAGCTTTGCAAGCTGAGGAACCCCATGTAGAAGGCCTTGAGTAGGGAAAAGGTGGAGTGTGTTTAGAGAATTGACAAAGCCTGGTGTTTAAAGCATGGAGGGAGAGAGTATCTCAGTATGTATGTTTCCAGGACAGCATTTATTATGCTGTTTTATTGGCTGCCCCCCCCCCAACTCTAAACTCCTTGATGACCCAAACTATATTCTATTTGATGGTAGCTGTAGCACCTAGCACTCAGTAGGAACTCAAAAAATATTTGATGACATCTGGGCACTGGTGACTCACACCCATAATCCTAGCTACTTGGGAGGCTGAGATCTGGAAGATCGAAGTTCAAGGCCAGCCTGGGCAAATAGTTCATGAGAACCCTCTCCAAAGTAGCCAGAGCAAAATGGACTGACGGCGTAGCTTACGTGGTAGAGCACCTGCTTTGCAAGTGTGAACCCCTGAGTTCAAACCCCAGTCCCACCAAAATAAAAATTAAAAAAAAAATTGATGATCAAGTGAACAAAGTCTCTGCCTACAGGGGCTTAGCTTACAGTAGGAGATGGAAAAGAACACTAATAATTATGAAATAAGGTAATAACTCAAGAAGGTTTTTTGTTTTGTTTTGTTTTGTTTTGTTTTTGAGACAGGTCTTGCTTAGCAGCCCAGGCTAGCATCAAATTTGTAATCCTCCTGCCTCAGCCTTCTGAGTGCTGGGATTACAGGTATGTGCCACTATGCCCAGGTAAGCCTTTTTTTTTTTAAAGCCTAGGGACTTTTGACTCAAATGTGTTTTGTGGAAAAGTGATATGAAGCTGTTGTGGTTGTATATTTGTGGAATTTTCTTCTCAGTTCTCCTCTCTGCCCATAACATTCCAATACATTTTACTTCTATTATTCCCCTGCTTACTCATGCTCACCTGGGTAACTACCTGTTTCTCTTCCAAGTGTCATGTACCTGACCTCTTTTCTGCTGTAAAGTTACAGGCCCACCTGGTCTTCCTGACATCTGGTACCTACCTCTTTTGTGTCTGTGGCACTGGGGATTGATCCCAGAACCTCCAACTTGCTTGGCAAGCACTTTACCACTTGAACCACCCCCCCACTCCCACCTCTTTTAAAATTTTGTTTTTGAGACAAGGTCTGGCTAACTTTGCCTGGGCTGACCTTGAATACGCGATCCTCCTGCTTCTGCCTCTGAGCTATGTTGTTTTCTTAAAACAGAGTTTTAAGAAGCCTTCTCTGTGGCTTTGTCATCTACTCCAGTATCCTCACATTTTTTTTATAGCACCTAAGCTTGAGGTGAGAAGGGTAGGATCCAGAACATATATCAAAAGAATTGAACTTTGAGAGCCAGTAGGGAAGGGAAAAGGGTACAGATACAGATAGGATTGATTATAGATTGTGCTGGGCTTCAATTACACTCCTGCTAATAGTCACGTATGAAATAAAAGACTGTTGCCACCAGCTGAGAGAGATGAAAGAGAGGAAGATAAGTGTGAAACAGTTGTAGGGTGCTAGGTGGACAGAGTGGGCTGGTGGCTTACCTGGGAAATATAGGAGTATTAGGTGCATTGTATCCCAGTGTAAATTGTTGACAATAACTCTATAATGACATCAGTATGCCAGTATCATGATTTTCCTCCTCTTTCAGTAATACTTAGCTTTTTGGGTAGAGATACCAAATAAGAAGATGGTTGAGTTGAATCAGCCAGTGTTGAATTTTATTAGGGGACATGAAAGAGGGACTTCTCAGAGCCAAGAGTGTGCACAAAGAGGGAAGGAAATGTAGGTATAGGTGGGGGTCCGTGGATTGGAGGTTTTAACTAAGCTGAGTAGTCATTTTGAAAGGAACTTAAATAGAGCTGTGGAGATTCAGTGCACTTTGGAGCAGTACCACTAAGTTAATGTGAGGTAGTGGGTGGAAAGACCCAAGAGGTTGAGGATATGGGGGTTTTCTTTTCATTGAGTGTGAGATGCAGAGGGTTAATACAGACATTTTAGCAAGGTAGGGTCAGAATGCCTATGCTGAACCCCAGCTGTGTGATTTCCTAGTGGTGTAACCTTGAGCAAGTTATTCCATCTCAGTTTCCTTATCTGGAAAATGGGGATAAAAGTAATACCAAGCTGATAGTGTTCTGAGGATTAAATGAGTTAATATTTATAAAGCACTTAGAAAAGTGCTGTCACATAGGAAGTATATATAAATGCTTATTAAATAAAGATAGTGTCTTCCCTAAACATTCAGTTTAATATATAATTATTTAAAGTATGCCATTCTTCTAATGTCTAGCTACCACTTCTTTCCTCTCCCCCCATTTATTGCTGTTACCCCCTAATTAAACCTTTGCTATATGCTTAACCGAATTAGACATTTTTCATTAAAGTAGGAACATTTGGATTAGGACTGTAAGTCTGTACTAATCACTCAGAAAAGTATTTTTAAATATCTGTTTTATGAATTTATTTTAGCTGTTAAACGTTTAATGAAAGAAGCAGCAGAATTGAAAGACCCAACAGATCATTACCATGCGCAGCCTTTAGAGGTTAGTTCCTGTCTCTACTCTTCATCTGGGTTTTTGTCCTTTAATACTTAAAACAGCTTCTTTAAAATTGCCTTTTAATTGCTTCCAGTCATTATGGATGTGTTTGATACAGTTGTTCAAGCTATTTTAGTCCGTTTGTTACATGAGTGTTTCATTAGCCTTCAGGACCAGACATTGTGGACCAAGTAGATTTCTGGACTCTAAGGGCTCTCAGATGCTCAGTTGGTATGACGTCCTGAGCGTGAGGGGGGGACTGGACAGAGCCCCAGACTCAGTCCCTGGAGGGGCTTCTGCAGCTACCTTGCCCCTTTACACTAACGTTTCTTACCTCTCTTCACTCTTCCCATCTGTAAAAGGTTAATAAATTGCTTAGTCAGGTTTTCATGGAGGATACAGATGTAATAATGGATGTGCATGAATTTTGCAAGCTGAAAAGTACTTGGTAACTCTAACATGACATTAATAGCAAATGTACTAATACTACTGATCATTTGTAAATATGTTATAAGAGGTAATTTTTTAAAATGTTAAAATAATCCAAATTTATAGTAATCATTTGACTAGATTATAATTATTACCAGTAGTATTCTTTCAAGGATTATTTTGTAATTTAATTAAATTTGTCATCTTATTTATGAATATATAACAGCACTAAGAATTTTTTAATGTATTTAATTATAAAAGATTTTAGCTCTAATAAGATACAAAATTTAGATTAGACAGCTGTTACTTATCTCATTTATTTATAACTTTTATTTTTGAGACTTTTGTGCATTAGAAATTATCTTAGCAATAATATAAATCATTTGATTTTTCTTACCTGATAATAGTTCTGTCATTCATTTTGATAAAAATAATCTTTTAATGGGTTATTGCTTTTATTCAGGATAACCTTTTTGAATGGCACTTCACAGTTAGAGGACCCCCAGATTCTGATTTTGATGGAGGAGTTTATCATGGACGAATAGTGCTGCCTCCAGAGTATCCCATGAAACCACCAAGCATTATTCTTCTAACGGTAAGACTTGTTGACTTTTTTTTCCCTTTTTTTTGGTGGTGGTGGTGGTACTTGTTTGAATGTAGGGCCTTGTGCTTGTTAGGCAGGTACTCTACCACATGAACCACACTCCTAGCCCTTGTATGCCTTTTTAGTTATTGTTCAAGTATGATCTTGTGATTTTGCCCAGTGCTAGCCTAGGACCATGATCTCCTTCCTACCTATGCTTCCAACCTGGCTTGTTTGTTGAGATAGGGTCTTGCTAACTTTTTGCCCAGGCTGGCCTCGAACCATAATCCTCCCAGTGTCTGCCTTCTGAGTAGCTTGGATTATAGAAATGAGCCACTGCACTTGGCAAAATTTTTGGCTTTTTTGGGAAGCCCATGGGTTAGCTTTTCCTGGTGCTGTAAAATATAATCAGTACACTCATTTTCATTTAGAAATAAAATGAAACATAGTTATAATTTTACCTTTGGAGTCCAGGCTGTGGGACTGCAATTTTTTTTTTCCTCAAATTAATCCCTAAGAAACTGATGTGTCTAAGAAGTAGTAGTAGTATTGATGGATGCATAGGTTGTTAGGATTCGTGAGTTAGTGTCGAGTGTGCATAGTGCCTGGCATGGTGAGCACTGTAATGTTAGTGTGTCTCATGGGCACATCATCTCCTTCAGCTTCCCACCTTCCTTACACGGTTTTCCTGTTTCCTCATCTTCACAATGAGAAAAATGGCCCCTACCTCACAGAACTGACGTGGAATTAACAGGATAGCTTTTAGAGTAGGGCCTGACACAGAATCCCTGTCTGTGCTATCTGTGTCTCAGGCTTTCCATTGTTACCTAGTCTATGTTCAGATGAAAGAAAACTCTTGATCCAATTCTTCTCTTGTTAGGCTTTCCTTCACTCATTTCCTTTCATTTATAAGTGTTTTTAATTCTCCCCCAATCTTGAAAAATGCACAAACAAAACACAAGAACCTTTCTGTTTACCTTGTTAAGCTGTTCCTCTCTTTGATAACCTCCAAGTCCTTCTTACTCGAGCGTGACCTGTTACAGTCTGGCTTCCACACGTAGTCCTCTGTGGAAATATGCTTATTCCACCTAACTCAGAGGCCAGTCAGAAATCCCATGCCTCTTCTCAGTCTTCACCCTGTTCATTCGTGTTACCTGATCCATAGGGCAAGCAAATGGTGAACGAGAGCTGACAAACTAGGTTCTGACCAGTGTTCTTTCCATCACACTGTGTGCAGGATCATGCTGCATTGTCTGTGAGGCTCAGTTTTCTCATCAGTCAAAAGGAATGTCGCATATGGGCAGTGTAATCACTGTAAAGTTTCTGGCATAGAGAAGCTGCTTAACAAGAATTAGGTGTTACTGACAATTGTTAATGCTGGCAGGAAGGCTGGAACAGAGTTCTGGAGGCCCCTACCATGTCAGGAGTCACTTCATTTAGTTTCCAGATCACAGGGAGAGCCAGTTGGTCTAGAGAGTGGGGTTGGTTCATGGGGAAACTGGTGTGTGTATGTGAGTGGAGGGGGCAGTTGGCAGCAGCTCTTTACCAGTAAGTTTAATATAGATGTATGTGTTTGTGTGGTACAGGAATTTTGAACTCAGGGACTTGGACTTGTTAGAAAAGTGCTCTGTCGCTTGAGGCATTCCCTCAGCCCTTCCTTTTGTTTTTTTTTGTGGTACTGGGGTTTGAACTCAGGGCCTACACCTTGAGCTATTCCACCATCCCTTTTTTGTGGCAGGTTTTTTTGAGATAGGGTCTCGCAACTATTTGCCTGGGCTGGCTTTGAATTGTAACCCTCCTGATCTCTGCCTCCTGAGTAGCTGGGATTACGGGCATGAGCCACTGGTTCCCAACCCCTCAGCTCTTTTTTGCTTTAGTTATTTTTCAGGTAGGATCTCATGTTTTTGCTTGGGGCTGGTCTCAGTCTGCAATTCCCCCCTCTAGGTATCTGAGACCCTCTAAACGTGCCACCCTGCCCAGGTTAATGGCTGCTAACTTTTTGCTCAGGCTGGCTTCAATCTCCAATTTCTACTTCCTGAGTGGCTAGGATTATAGGTATGAGCCATTATTCCCAGTGGTATGGTCATAGTTACCAAACTGTGTTCCAAACATAGTTACCAGTCCTGTGTTCCTGATATTCAGCATTGCACTGTTTCGAGTTCACTTCCTCTCTTTTAAAAAATCTTCAGCTTTCATTCAGCAAATCTTTTTAAACACGTGTCCTGTGGGGGGGCCCTGTGGATGTGGCAGAGACTAAGTTAGTCTTAGCCCAAATGGCACATATATTCTAACTTCATGCCTCCTACTCACTCTTTCTCAAGTGTGGGTATTCTATCAGTTCAGACATTAGCTGTTGTTATTTCTATTACATGGCTTCAGTGGTTGCCTCTGTGAAGAGGTACCAAAAGTCGATAAGTGTATCCTTTTTCTAACATCAGCATACTTATATTTGTACCTGCCTGTTAGTCATTGTCAGTAGCTTTCCTATAAAATCATCAGATCCACTCCAAGACTGAATCCTTAGCTCCAGCTTCCTTTTCTGTGTTCCTGTCTTATTAAATGGCATCATCCCTCTGAAAATCACCCTTGCCTTAAGTCTTGCTCTCCATGTCCTTCTTCACTAGCTAGTTGTGTGACACCATGTTCTTAGATTGTAGCTTGGCTCTTACAATGCTTTAACAATGCCTACCTCTGTAGTAGTCACATGTCAAATGTTGTTATTAAGATTCCAGTTGTTTGACTCAGTTTCTAAAAGGTGCTATACACCTTCCAAAAACAGCTTTTACCATTCATTCAGCATCTAGAAAATATTTTTGGAATGTCTAAAAGACAAAAATCTGTGTCTCCTTTCATTCTTTAAAATTTTTTCTTAAAATTATTATTCAGATATAAATATAAAATGTATTTATGCTTGGAAAGTATAAAACATTAAACATACCTATGTAATTTAAAAAATGCATTATTTATTTTTAAGGCTAATGGGCGATTTGAAGTGGGCAAGAAAATCTGTTTGAGCATCTCAGGACATCATCCTGAAACATGGCAGCCATCATGGAGTAGTAAGTATTAGTTACAAGTGAATATAAATCTCATAACTTTATTCAGTTCATAGTAATGCTTGCTTGAGATTGAAGCTATTTTGGATAACTTGATACCATTAAATAAATAAAATAAAGTGCTTTTCTATGTCGAGATTTTTGTGACATTCCTCACTTGTAATGTCTTTTGTGAAACCCTCCAAGTCTTTTTTTCTTCTCTTTATAGAGCAAATCCAGTTCCTTTTACAAAGCAACTTAGATTAACATTTACATTTTTATTTCAGTAAGGACAGCGTTACTAGCCATCATTGGATTTATGCCAACGAAGGGAGAGGGAGCGATAGGTTCTCTAGATTACACACCAGAGGAGAGAAGAGCACTTGCCAAAAAGTAAGTTGGGCTTAAATACTCTTGTGCTTCATGGTATTAGAAAACAGGCTGTCTCTCTTACTTTTGGCCTTGGCTACAGGATCTGGTCTTACCGTTGCTACCTTAGAAATCCAGTTCTACTAATTTCCTTGGAGTGACCTGAATCTAAACACTTGATTTTTTTTTTCTTTTTTGTGCTGGTAGGGCTCAATCTCAGGGCCTTGCCCATGCTAGGCAAATGCTAATATTCCACTTAAGATTTATTTTTACTAAAGTGCTAGATATATTCTCCTGGAAAATATTACTGGCCATTTGTTTCCACTTGGATTGTATTACAGACAGAAAAGAATCAGGATAGTTATTTATATATAGCTTTTTAAAAGATTAGAAACTCCTTGGAGATAGGAGGGAATCCACTTTATCTATCTTTGTATCTACAGGATATAGCTCACAGCAAGTACTCAATAAGTGATCTGAAATAAAGGGACATTTCATCAACTTGTGATTGCTCAGTGGTATTGTCCTCTCTTTTTTCAGGTGCATTTTTGTCTAGATAACCAAGATTAGTCATTCAATTCAAAGTGTCCTTGCCTTTGAATAGTGCTAAAGTCTTATTTCTTGATTTTGACGATTTTCCTGCCATACTTCAGACAAATTATATTAAGTTATAGCATATTTTATCCTAGCACAGCCCAGAGTAGGCCCTTCACAGATGTTTGTTATGTCAAATAGTTAGATTTTAGTGTTGGGAGATTTGGAAAATGCTCTGGCCTTAGAACAACTTTTTTTTGTTTTAAAACCATATTCCCTGATTCTGGGGCTATACCTTACTTGCAGGTACTATTTGCACATCACAGTGTGTTTTTTGAATACACAGTATGTATTTTCATTTGATTTCCTGTGTTGGCTTTCTATCTAGACACTTGATATCCAGTTGATTTCATGTACAGGTGAAAAAAAATAACCTTTTTTTTTTTTTTGGTTGTACCGGGGTTTGAATTAGGGCCTTATGCTTGCCAAACATGTGCTCTGCTACTTGAGCCACCTCCCAGCTCTTTTTGGTTCATTACTTCACTGAACAGGAGCTCACTTTTTTGCCTATGCCAGCCTGGACCATGATCCTCCTATTTGTACTCTAAACGTAGCTGGGATGACAGGCATGTACCATAACACCCAGTTTTTTGATTGATTGAGATGGGATCTTACATACTTTTTGCCTGGGCTGGCCTCAAACTGAAATCCTCCCATTGTCTGCCTCTAGTGTTACTAGGATTACAGGCATGAGCCACTGTGCCTAGATTTTTTTTTTTTTTTTTAATTTTCAAGACAGGGCCAGCTCAGCTGGTTTCAAACTCACACTCCTCCTGCCTCAGCCTCCCAAGACTGAGGGTGCACCACCAAGCCCAGTTTACAACTTGGTTTCTTGTTCTTACTCTTATTCTTCTAGGTAGCTGAGTATATACGTTTCATCTGACTGCTCGGTAAAAGTGAATGTATTCTAGGGCAAATAAATGAGATTTAATTGGTTACCAAAGGGATATGGACAGTAATGCTGTTCTTGTGAAACAAACAAGTATTCATCAATAAATACTAAATTAATGGTTCTTTTACATATATTTTGTTTATATGATGCTGTTTTATAAACTTGAATAGCATTTTCTTCTAGATCTTAAGTTATATTCATCTAGAAATATTGTAGAAAATAATTTTTAAAAATGAAGTTTAGAGCTGGGGGAGTGATGGCATGTGCCTATAATCCCAGCACTCAAAGAGGCTGAGACAGGAAGATTGAGAATTCCAGGCCAGCCTGGGCTACAACAAAAAAAATGGTCAGCTATGTAACTGTATTTCTACATATTATACATACTGTGTTTCAGTCATTTAAGTCCTTGTAGCACTCTTGTGCGCTTTAGGGCAGTTTTGGCTCCATCTGGAATACAAAGGGGACAGTGGAAAAACAAATAAACCTAAGGAAGTCATCTAGTTACCAGACTTATCTTGAGTCTGTTTAATATAACCAGTGGTGGATTCAATTTTAGTTTTTTCTACAAGTTCTTCTAAGTCTTCCAAGTTATACTCTGTTTAAAAGAGTAGGATTTGTAAATCATTTTTAAAGAAATATCTGTCAATTCTATTCTTAATTGTCTTTCCTGTTTTATGTTTCTGCTAAAAAGATAATTTGAGCTTTATAATGGATCTTTTCCACTGGCTTTAAGTGGACTTGTTAGGTGGGATCTTGAGAACAGTATTGTAGACAATTCATCTATTTTGTCATTGTATAGACCTAAAACTTACTCTTCTTTAGATAACATTTAAAAAATGGAATCTAAGCTCTGTATTTTTATGAACTCATACTTAGAACTGCAGTTGCTGTCTTAATCACTGCATGTGGGTAAATGTGGTGTGGAATTGTTCAGTGTTCTTTCCTTCCAAATGTAATCATACAGGCCAGGTGCCGGTGGTTCATGTCTGTAATCCCAGCTGCTCAGGAGGCAGAGATCAGGAGGATCACAGTTAGAAGCCAACCTAGGCAAATAGTCCGCGAGATCCTATCTCAGAAAAAAGCATCACAAAAAAAAAAAAAAAAAAAGGGCTGGTGGAGTAGCTCAAGGTGTAGGCCCTGAATTCAAGCCCCAGAACTGCAAAAAAAAAAAAAAAAACTAAAAAAACCCCACAATATTTGATTATCTCAGTAAAAGAGAATTAATATTCACCAATTTGATTTATACTCACTGAACAAAGTTGTTCCCTACCAGATCCCAGGATTTCTGTTGTGAAGGATGTGGCTCTGCCATGAAGGATGTCCTATTGCCTTTAAAATCTGGAAGTGATTCAAGCCAGGCTGACCAGGAAGCCAAGGAACTGGCTAGACAAATTAGTTTTAAGGTATAAATTCCTAAATACATTCTACTTACATCACCTTTTATTTACTACTGAATTTGGATAACAAGGGAAGCTATATAGTTCTCTTGCAGTAAGATTTTACAAATGATTTTTTTCCTATTATAAAATTCTTAATTACACTCATAAAGGCATTATAGCATAGCAGTAAAACCAAGGGTCTGATAAGCAAATCTGGGTTCAAATAACAACTTTGCTGCTGCTTATGACAGGTATCATATCAGACATACTGCTTAACTACCGTATGCCCCTTTTTTATCTATAAATAATGTTGGTACCTACCCTGCAGGATATTGTGAGGATAAAGTAAATTAATACATTACTACGTGTGTTGCATTTAGAACTGCCCCTGTGCTCCATAAATTCTAGCTATTATTATTGAAAATATAGATAAGCCTTAACAAGAAATTATACTCATACCTAAACACCACATCTAAGAAATAACTGTTGTAAATTTTTTGACTTATTTCCCTTTTATCCCTCTTTAATGCATGTTTTACCCAAAGATAAGATTTATATAGTATTTTATGACTTTGAGTAGTCACATTCATGTTTCTGGAATTTAATTAGCTCCACAAAAAAAAATGTTAGCTCACATTATGCAACACATTCCTCCTCCATCTTCTCCACATCTCATCCCATGTGTCCTCCTGGGTCTAGTTCTTGGGAGAACTAGACCATCTAGTTTATTGTAGTACCTGGAAGAAAAGATGTAAATGTTGCTTCTTCTGAGGATTCTTGATATAATTAAAATTACTTCTCTGAAAACTCTTAGGGCCAGATGTATTTATGTCAGAGTTTTTCAGATTTTAGAAACTATCTTACATATACCATATATTAACTAACTGCAGTGGCTAACTTGAGTAGCACCTCATAATCAAATCCATTAAGATTTCCTCCGCAAACCTGGGACTGTGGACACTGCTGTACTTGCCTCACATCAGTTCATTCAGGGTTTGCCTAAAAATTACTAAAAAAACTTTAGTTTTTAGCCAGGCGCTGATGACTAACTCCTACATCCTAATTACTCAGGAGACAGAGATCAGGAGGATTGTGGTTAGAAGCCAGCCTGGGCAGATAATTTGAGAGCTTTCTCGAAAAAAATTCAACACAAAACAGGGCTAGTGGAGTGGCTCAAGTGGTAGAGCACCTGTCTAGCAAGCGTGAGGCCCTGAGTTCAAACTCCCAATACTACCAAAAAAACAAAAAACAAACAAAAAAACCCTTTAGGTTTTAGAGCTTTTTTAGAATTGTAGATTGTGAACCTATGAATATTGGTTTTGTTCCTCACCAACTAGCAGCTCCTTGAGAACAGGGATTGTCTATGCTTCTTCCTAAATATTTAGCATGGTGTCAGACACAGGAGTGCACAAAGCCTAAATGATTGATAGGAGATACTAAAGGACCAATTAAAATAAATACAGGGGTGGGAATTTAGTAGGTTCTGTGTTATTCTGTACATTTCTTATAACACTGCTCCTGGGTGTGTCTTATTTCTAGGCAGAAGTCAATTCATCTGGAAAGACGATTACTGAGTCAGACGTTAACAAACAGTCTTTTTCACTAAGTGACTTACAGGACAATATACCTACAACATTCCAGGGTGCTACAGCCAGCACATCGGTATGGCTTTTACCTTTTAATATATATATATATATATATGTATATCTATATTGTTACCATTATTTGGAATAGGATAGGATCCTAGATCAAATATCTGAAAATGTTTGTTTTTCCTAATAGTTGGATTCTAGCCCAGGTGACTCCCTAATAAGTTATATTATCTTGAGCAAATTATTCACACTTTCTGGGCTTTAGTTTGTTTTCTTGTTAAGTGGGGCTAGACTAAATAATTTTCTCTCCAGAATTCTATGATTTGTTTCTAAAGTTAGTTTCAAGATAGTGCTAGATTCTGAATAAAAATATGTTAGCCACTTTTCAAATAGATCCTGTCTTTGGCATATTTCTTAAACTACATGAAGCAGAGACTTGATAAACAGCTGGAGCCATAATTTGCCTAGAGTTGCTCTCTTCTGTACAGTAGCCACTAGTCACTTGTGTCTGTCTAAATTTAAGTTAATCAAAATTAAGTAAAATTCAAAGCTCAATTCCTTAGTCACCTAGCCACATTTCAAGTGTTCCATAGCCACATGTGGCTGGGGTGGCCATATGTAGAAGCTTAGATCTAGAAGTTCACTACCATTGCACAGTTCTGTTGGACAGTGTTGCCTTGACCATAGTTAAGTGTCCAATAAATAACTGTTCAGTGACTGTTATGGGTGATGTTAGTCGTGCCTGACCTATTGTCTGAAAACATTGGTAGGCCTAGGTTGTCAGAAAGACTGATCTAAAAAGTATGACTGGATTGGTGCTACATAATTAGGATTATAGGAAAGACAAAGACTTTCCTTTCTATATATAAAAGTCAAAACAGTCTTTTGGGGTCTTTTTGATTACAGATTGTTTGGCTAAGTAGTTAGATCCATTGGTTTCTTCTAGATTATAGAAGACTTTGGAGGATCAGAAAAACTAAAAAAAGAAGCTGGCCAAATATAGATTTGCCTTTTCCAGGAATAACCTGCTATAAAGTGGTATTGAGTAGTCCTGAATGACTCGCTCCCATCAGAGAGTGAGCTGGATACAGAAAAGTAGATTGGAGAAGAGCAGGGAAGAGGTTCCTCTTTCTTGAGGAAATAAAGTGTGTGTAGATGAGTTTAAGTTAGTTTTACATGATCTCAGTATAATTTTATGAATTACAGAGGAATATAATGAATTAATTTTAAAGTCAGTATATCTTGGTTTGAAATGTTAAAACATTCTGATTAATTCTAATTGTATTTTATAAATAGTTTAAAAAATATAGAGTCATTCTATTACTAATATGAAGGTAGTAATCTTTTTTAACTATTAGGACAGTCTCCTAATGTTTATTATGTATCTCAGTTTGTCTTTGATGTATTTTAAGTCTATGTCAAGAGACCTTGTTACATATTCCAGTTATTCGTACTCCAGTTGTAATTTATTTTGTAATTATTTATGTACTGTCTATCTCATATTGTAGAATTAAGTTCCATGAGAGTCAGGGCTCTCTTTTGACTAATCAGGGACTAGCTTGGTGCTTTGCATATAGTAGGTGGTCAATATATATTTGTTGACTGACTGAATGAATCCTAGGGTTGATACTTTTAAAAAATACTAGGAATATAGGCAAAGAAATCAAGAAGTTTAAGTAAATTAGAGTATAGAATAATGTTATTACTATAGTAGTGTTTTCCACTTGACTTTTATGTGCATGTAACTTAAAATTCTTTATCATAGATATAGGTCATTAATTGAAAACAATTTTGTTTAAAATAGGCATAAGCAATAAATTGTCTATAATTACAAGTAGAGCTTTTCATCACATTGGAGTGTGGTTGTATAATTTGACCACTACGCAAATAACTGAAACTTGCTTTGGCTAGGGGTAGGTGCACTCAATGCAAATGTAACATAAATTCACTGAGATATCATGCATTAAACCCCAGATAAGCCATGTGTTTTTCCAGCATCGAGGGAGTGAGGGATTGGTGAAAGTAAATACAGCAGATAACATGAGGCCATCTGTTGGGCTTTGATGCAGAGTTTTTAGGTATGTAAAAATGGGGAAAATAACCTGATGGTAGTTTTGTATTCTTTGCTTTTATAATAAAAAGCAAACACAGAATTCCCTCACAGATGCTGGCTATTCTAGGTTATTATAGAAAAATTGATATATATTGTTAAGGAACTTAACTATGGCTATGACTATTTTAAGCAGGAAAAAATTTCATAATTTTATATTATCAAGGGACTGGGTTTTAGCCAGTGCTATACCATCCAAAAGGCATCTGAAATGTAGGAACCTAATTAAACATTGTATCTATATAAATATTTCCACTAAATCATGTAATAAATATCTATAGTCAATATTTTATTTATGTATTTATTTTGTGACACTGGAGATTGAACCCGCAGCCTTGTTCTGCTAGTTACTGTCTTTTTTGACTCAGGGTCTGACTATGTAGCCCAGGCTGCCCTTGAACTCTCAGTCCTCCTGCCTCAACCTCCCAAGTGCTGGAATTACAGGTGTGGGCTACCATGACTGGTTTGTGGTTAGTACTTTAAAGGGTTGTTTTTCTAAATATATTAATTATATTAATAAAGAACCAAAAAGCTGTCCTAAGTAAATTCACTTGTTTTTTGAACTTAGATCTAGATGCCTCCAAAGGGATATGTTAATAATAACTATTTAGTAATAACTTACATTTAATAAGCAATTTTGTGTGCTAAGCACTTTATAACATTATCCCATCTAATTCCTCACAGCTGTGGAATTAGATATTACCCTCATTCAGATCTACGTACAGATGAGGGATCTAAGACTCAGGTTAAATAACTTGCTTAAGGTCACACATCTTCCAAGTAGCAAAACCCGCCTGGTAATGATACAGGCTCCTGCTTCAGGTTTATGGGCAGGATAATCTCCCCTCAAACTAAGGAAACAGTAACAGGTATACAATAAAGGTTTTAATCTGAGTCAATCGCTTGTGCTAAATATGGATCAATGTTACTGTCATTTTTTAAATTCCTTAAGAACCTGTTCTCTTTAAGCATGAGTCCTTTGGCTATGTTAAGTACTTTTATCTTCTTGGCTGAATAATCAGAAGAATGAGAGATTGCAACTGTAATTAATGCTTCTATAACTCCATTCACTCACCTTATGACATTTGTGATGACGTGTGATCTAATAAATCACTGAGCTTTGTGTTTCTGCGCTCTTCAGTGAGCAGATTGCTCCTTGGAGTCCTGGGTCATAAAGGTCCAAGTACATGCAATTCTAATTCATTATCAACACTAACTTTTATTTATTTATTTAATTTGTTTATTGCTTTTATATTTATTCATATGTGTATACATTGTTTGGGCCACCTCCTCCCCACCCCTGCTTCCAGGCAGAACCTGTTCTGCCCTCTTGTGCTCCAGTTTTGTTGAAGAGAAAACATAAGCGGCAATAAGAAAGACATAGTGTTTTTGCTAGTTGAGATAAAGATAGCTATACAGAGAGATTCCTAGCATTGTTTCCATGCACATGTGTATTACAACCTACATTGATTCATCTCTACCAGACCTCTTCACTACTTCCTGCTCCCCTTCCCATAGTGGCCTCTGCCAGTTTCAGATTACTGTATTTGCTCCTCTATAAGGAGCAGATCCACCACATTCAAGTTTTAGGTTTCCTTTCCTTTCCCTATTTCTCCCATGAGTGTGTGACCCATGTCCAGTAATGTTACTGCATTTGTTCTAGGACTATAATCTGCATAAGAGGGAGAACATACTATTTTTGGCCTTACTAACTTATTTTTAGCTTAAAGTCATCAGCAGTTCCTGTCTACCTCTGTATTAGAGGTCACTACATTTGAGAGATTCCAAAAGATAGCTTTAAGAAATTCAGATTATTTTTATATTTGTTTTTGCAGTGCTGGGGATTGAATCCAGGGCTTTGTGCATGATAGGCAAGTGATCTACCACTGAACTTGGGTTTTCCAGGCATGGTCTTGCTATGTAACTGAGGCTGACCTCAGTGTGATACTCCTGCCTCTGCCTCCTGAGTGCTGGTTTTATAGGCATGTGTCACCACGCCTAGTTTAAGCCTTTTAAAGTTGAAATGAGTGTCAGATTTAAAATGGAAATACTTTTCTACAGGTGACTTAGGTCAGCAGTATTTCCCCCTAATGTTTAAAACTATTGCTGGCCAAAGCCCACCCCATTACCTTTATTTTTTTATTTATTTATTTTTTGGCAGTACTGGGGTTTGAACTCGGGGCCTTACTCTTACCACTTGAGCCACTCTGCTAGCCCCCATCCTTTTGCCTTTAGAAAAAACATTTGAAGTATATTATTAGATTTTTTTCCTCCTAAATATTTAAATGTTTTTTAATGGAAAATATTTGAAATGTTTTATACTTAATTTAATATCATTCTGAATAAAACATGCTCTTTTTTAAACCAAATGTACTGGCAATAACCAGTGTATAAATTGCTTTCAATAAGAGAATTAAAGGACAGGTATCTATATAAATAAAGTGGAACTCATATTTTGTACAGCTTCTTTGACTATGTTATCAGTTTTTTAATCTATAAACCATATTTAAGATTTTGAACCTCACAGAATTAGAAATAAGAGCAAAATAGTTTCTGCTGGGTATTGGGGGGGAGAGGGAGTGGGTGGAGTGGGTGGTAAGGGAGGGGGTGGGGGCAGGGGGGAGAAATGAACCAAGCCTTGTATACACATATGAATAATAAAAGAAAAATGAAAGAAAAAAAAAAAGATTTTGAACCTCTTGGTGTCACATTGTGGTCATGCTATGACTAACAAGTCACTGCAGTTGTCATCCAGTGCTCTGGGGGAACAACCAATGCTGAAATAGAGCATACGTCGGATGGAATGTGAGTACCTCATACTTTCCTGAGCACATATCCGGAGAACTCTTGATAACATAAAGTAGCCCATACTAAATGATGTACTTCTGGACTCGTGCTCTGTTCACTAGTCGGGGATTGGGGGATGAGTAAGCCTGGCTATGAAGAATTCACAGTTTGAAATTTCTTGTGCTCTGGGATTACTGGTGGAAGCATTTCGACACAGTAAGATAAAACTGGAAGAAAGCTGGTTCATGAAAGGCACACTACTAAGAGTTTCCCTTTTTGAGATTTAAAATGGATCATTTTCAGGCCTAAAGTAGAAATCAAATTGCTTCTCTCCTTGGGACTCCTAAAAGAGGTGAAGTACCCAAGTGCTTAGCAGAGGCTGCTGGAACTATACCCGAGGGAGAAAGGAAGGCCATCTGTGGAGAAAATAGGTAAATTTCTGCCTTGTCTACTTGGTTGCTGGTAAATTCCTTCTCCACCTGGTGGCACTCAGATAAGTTGTACTGCTGGCTTATTCAGCAGCGTTGGTCACTAGTCTCAGCATTTACATAATTCCTGGTAGTTTTGCCTTTAGTCATATTTAATTCTCTGAGAATCTGTGTATTCTTGGACAGATAAGTCTATAATGTAGATTTTCTTTGCCAATTTCAAACTAAGTTTCTTTGCATTTCCAGAACCCATCTGCAGCATCCTTTCAACAACCTACGCAACCTGTAGCTAAGAATACCTCCATGAGCCCTCGGCAGCGCCGGGCCCAGCAGCAGAGTCAAAGAAGGTCATCCACTTCACCGGATGTAATCCAGGGCCAGCAGCCAAGAGACAACCACACCGATCATGGCGGTTCCGCTGTACTGATTGTCATCCTGACTTTGGCCTTGGCGGCTCTTATATTCCGGCGAATATATCTGGCCAATGAGTACATATTTGACTTTGAGTTATAATACTGCTTTGTGACTTAAGAGCTGTGATTCAGCTGCTTCATTCAACATTCTGCATTGGGTATAATCTAAGAATTGTTTACAAAAAGATTATTTTGTATTTACCCTTCATTCCTTTTTTGATCCTTATAAATTCAATATAAATACAGCTAGACATTCAGGCTATGTCCAGCAGTGTGTCCTGTTTAGCTTAAGAGACTGGAAGTCAAAGTTCCTGTCTCATTATTTTATCTGCTTTAGAGAGAAATACATGTTTCTCATGTCTCAACTTTTTTTTTTCTGTAAATTTGCAATACTTTTCTATATAATCCTTTGAAATTTTCTGATAAAAGATGGTGTTTTAAGTTCTCGTGAATATTACTAGTTACTCAATATCATTTATTGAGTACTCTGTTTCTACTTATGTAGACTATTATAGGGATAGAAGAGTTGAAAGGGAAAGCAAAACTTCTCCAAGTAGCTACCTTAAAATATCATTTATAGAAGAATACCGGATTGCCCTTCCTGTGACCTTGTGTTCTAAATATTATTTCAGTGAAATACAAGGATCTTTTTACGTCTTTGTTATTGGATGTTACTTGAAGAGGAAGTACTTTATAACCACTTGGATATGCTGTTATCAAGCCTCTTTCTGATACACAAACAAATTTAAAAAGAAAGAAAACAGTCCTCCAAAGAGCTTTGTCTTAAGGAATAAATGGTCCAAGCCAGGAAATTGCTTGATTTTCTCCCAGAAGTTAAGTAGGAAGATTGTAAAATTTTAATGTTTGCTCTGCTTTGAATTGTATATCTTTTGAAATGTATTATATGCCTAGCTTTGTAATCACTATAAATTTTAATTATTCCAGGAATATGCACAATGTTGAACTATTTCATGTACCATTTTAATGGAAAAACTCAGGGCCCAATAACAGTGATAGAAGGTAGACCAACCTCTACTTAGAATTGTCCCCCTAATCAAAGCCCAAGGAAGATTTTCAGTGAAAAAAAAAGTTCAGTACATTGTTTAGTGCTAGCCGACTCCACAGATGATGGTAGATAACTTTATTGTCACAGTGCCTGGTGAGACCATATAATCACAGAAAACATTGTCTTCAGATGTTCCCTTGGCAGCACTGAAGGCACTCTGAAGGCCTCTGCTAATGACGATTTAATTTTCAGATACAGACAGTCCTTAGCTTTCAAACATGTTGTTCTCTAAAAGTGTGTCAAACAATGTAAATGGCATCTAGTTCTAGACCAGTCCACAAAACTTAGCCTGGATGCATCTCAGGGAGGGTGTTCATAAAGTCCTTATGTTTTTTTAACTAACTGAAATTATGAGTAAGATAAAAAATAATTTGTAAGATTGTTTTAAAGGCAAATTTAATTTTTATTCCTGTTATGGTACTTTGGACCTATTAACCATCAGCCATATTTCTGTTTTCACTTGATAGTTTCCCATTATGTCTGCATCTAAAATAAAGACACATTGTATGCCATTACAGAGTTGTCTTAAGCTTTAAGCATTTTAAACTCTTAGCATTTTAAAGTTGTTCACAAATTGTTTCTATTATATCTATAGCTGAAGTTGAAAAAGTTTAAAAAAACCTAAGGACTTTATGATGCCTTCATATTAGGAAAATTATAGGTTACCATTTTATAATGGTTGGCCCAACTGGAAAGATGAGGTAGTGCTATCACCTAAAAAGGAAGTCCCCATGCCCTCAGCCTCTGCTATAATTGTGTGCTGGGAACAGTCTCCCATTTGCTCTCAGTCAGACTTAAGCCAGCCTCTTGATCCCTGACCTCATTGCATGTTTCCGTGGGGTGAACCTGTGCTTTAAAGTTAAGCATTGTGCAGATCCTGCTTTAATCAGATTTGCTTCTCCCTCACCTGTCCAGTGGTGGGTCATCTGCTTGTTTGTGTTGGAATTTTTAGCACCAGTACTTAAGTCTCAAATTGACATGTTTTGCTCCTCACATTCGCTCCCCAAAATCTTAAATTGTCCATCTGACCCCCATTGTGGGGTTAATGAGGCCACTGAAGGGTTGCTTCTGAAAACTATTATATGGAAAACCCTACTTTAACCTCTTAATTCCAGCATAAGGGAAAAACTGGATGTGTGATCTGGTAGGTAAAGTATTGGGGCTCATTTCCCCAATTCTCCCATTTAGGCAACTTGTGGCTTTCTCTTTGACCAGCACAGCACATGACATATATCAAGGTAGTTAAGACAGCATGTTTGAAAAAAATGTCTTTTGCTTGTTACTGTTTAAGCCAAGGAACCTTCAGATTTTATGTAATGTGAGGCTTTATGTAGCACTTACAGCTCCATGCTGCTCATTGTTTTATTCTACTGAAATAAATGAATTTCATCAAGATTCTCAGCTAATTTCTGAAAAGCTTTTAAAATTGATTATTGTTTTGACTAAAATATGTTTCCTGTTTCAGGAGAATAAGAACGCTTTGTTATTTTGGGTTTATGAAGAAACATTCTGGTATCTTGACAATGCCCATTTTTGTAGACCAGAACCAGTAAATAAGTAAACCTTACTCATTTGGACCTACTTGAGCAGAAACCTAGGGTGAAGTACTGAAAAACCTACATTGTTTTGTCACATGCAAGTAAGTATATGTAAAATGAATACATTTAGTGAGCCTGACTTTAACCAAGAATAATGTACATATTAACATATGTCTGTTGAAGCCCTCGTGGGAGGCTGTGCATGACCTGAAAGCTGTTTGGAATGCCTCTTGAACAGGTGCCTTCAGAACTAGTTTGAACTGCTCAATAAAACCAGTGACTGTATTCATTTTTTTGTCTTTGACCAAAGGTTGTATTCTTTGCCATCTGATCTTATCTCCTTCCTTGACTGTCCTTTCCAGATCTTTCCATTTCTCTTCATACTCTGTTGCTACCCTCACTAGCTGCTCTCCTGTACGTTAATGCAGTTACCTCTTACTAGAGCTCCAGTCTTACACCATTCCTACATTGCAGCCAGTCTTCTCCAGTACACATCTGACCCTATCTGTTACTGCTATTAAAGTAGGTAATGGTGACAGTTGCAAACTCTGAATATACTAAAAAGTACCCTTTAAGGGAGTGAATTTATGGTATGTGAGTAATATTTCAATAAAATTGTGATAAGAAATTGTGCCATTCAACTGGCTTTCTCCCTATCCTACTCAGGATAATTGAACTATCGATAATAGAATTTTAAAGAAAACTGGCAGAACCTTAGAGTTGTGTCTAGAATGCCTCCCACAACAGCTATTTCTTTTTTTTTTTTTTTTTTTTTTTTCATTTTTTTTTATTATTCATGTGTGCATACAAGGCTTGGTTCATTTCTCCCCCCTGCCCCCACCCCCTCCCTTACCACCCACTCCGCCCCCTCCTAGCCATCATCAGCAACACCACCAACAACAGGTGTTGGCGAGGATGCGGGGAAAAAGGAACCCTTTTACACTGTTGGTGGGAATGTAGACTAGTACAACCACTCTGGAAAAAAATTTGGAGGCTACTTAAAAAGATGGACATCGATCTACCATTTGATCCAGCAATACCACTCTTGGGGATATACCCAAAAGACTGTTACTCCAGAGGCACCTGCACATCCATGTTTATTGCGGCACTATTCACAATAGCCAAGTTATGGAAACAGCCAAGATGTCCCAGCACTGACGAATGGATTAAGAAAATGTGGTATCTATACACAATGGAATTTTATGCAGCCATGAAGAAGAACGAAATGTTATCATTCGCTGGTAAATGGATGGAATTGGAGAACATCATTCTGAGTGAGGTTAGCCTGGCTCAAAAGACCAAAAATCGTATGTTCTCCCTCATATGTGGACATTAGATCAAGGGCAAACACAACAAGGGGATTGGACTATGAGCACATGATAAAAGCGAGAGCACACAAGGGAGGGGTGAGGATAGGTAAGACACCTAAAAAACTAGCTAGCATTTGTTGCCCTTAACGCAGAGAAACTAAAGCAGATACCTTAAAGCAACTGAGGCCAATAGGAAAAGGGGACCAGGAACTAGAGAAAAGGTTAGATCAAAAAGAATTAACCTAGAAGGTAACACCCACGCACAGGAAATCAATGTGAGTCAATGCCCTGTATAGCTATCCTTATCTCAACCAGCTATTTCTTAAAACCTAACAACATTCAAACATTAAGTCTAGGTTCCAGCTGGTCCTTTATTGGCTTGTTCCAAATGGAGAAAAGAAAAAGAGGTCTTTTAAGCAGATCCTGTGGAAAAGAACTTTCATAGGTCTGCTCCTCACCCTGAAATCTTTGAGAGGAGAAGAGTGTAATCTTAGTGGCAGAGGATTTGCCTAGCATGCAGGAGGTCCAGGTTTCATTCCCCATTACTGCAAAAAAATAAGAAAATAAAAATTCCCAGATAATTCTGAGGAGGGACCAGATCTGGGAACCACGGAATCACAATAAGTGCTTTTACAACATACTGTATTCTGTTTAATAGGTTAAACATAACCACATATTTATATATGTGGTTTTTATACTTTTTTGGTGGAACTTGGATTTGAACTCAGGGCTTCACTCTTGCAAAGCAGGTACTCTACTGCTTGAGCCACACCTTCAGTTCATTTTGCCCTGGTTATTTTGGAGATGGGATTTTGCAAACTATTTGCTCAGGCTGGCCTCAAACCTCAATCTTCCTGATCTCAGTTGCTCAAGTAGCTAGGGTTACTTGAGCCACTGGTGCTCAGTGTCTTTATACATTTTATACACAGGAATCAAGCCTAATTTATGATGTTTGACTTTATACATTTCAGGGTCAAAGATTGAAGTTAATGCTCATGATAGGAAAAGGAGCTTACATAATCATGAATTCTCTTTTGGTTTAGGCTGTTCTTCAAAATCAAAATGTTTTCTAGCTGGGTACAGTGGCTCAAGCCTGTAATCCTAGCTCCTTGAGAGGCAGAGATTGGGAGGATTGTGGTTCAAAGACAGCCTAGTCAAAAAGAGTTCCTGAGTCCCCATCTCAATCAATGGCTGGGTGTGGTGGCACACACCTAGCTACTGTGGGAAGTGTGCAATAGGAGGATCACAGTCCAGGCCAGCTTGGGCATAAGGCGAGATCCCTCTCCAAAATAGCCATAGCAAAAAAGGCTGGAGGCTTGGTCCAAGTGGTAGAACACCTGCCTACCAAGTGCAAGGTCCTGGGTTCAAACTCCATACCACCAAAAAAAAAAAGGTAGAAAAGTGTTCTATGCTTTGGTAAGTATTCACTGAAAACAAACAAACAAAAAAAAAAAAAAAAAGAAAAGGAGGTGAATATTTGGAGGGAGAGCAGATATTCTCAGCAACAGGGGCAGAGCATATTCTCTTAGATAAGAAATAAAGCAAGCCTTTGAAAACAGGTCATTTGTGTGTTCTCAGAATTTCTGCACACATTCACGCAGTGCTCTCCATGTGCAAATCCACTCGGAATCCTAGCCGGCTCCCTGCTGGATATGACAGACTGGTTTTATGCAGCCAGAGAGATGGATTAATGATCTCAGCAAAAACTGGTGTGTTTGAGAGATTTTATTTTTTCTATGTGTGTAACGGTTTTAGCCAAAGCTGTGCTAGGGTTCAGCTCGGAAGCAGACTTTCCCAGGAGGACAAACTTCTTGATGAATGACGAATCTCTAGGCAGTGGGGAGGGCAAAGCTTGGTGTTTGTGCCCATGACCCCGAGGGTGGGGTGTGCGGGTGCGACAGGCATCAGTATCAAACAGTAAACTGGGAAAATCAGCCTTGCTAGCCATGCCCTCACAGAGACTCCGACAAGCACCGGCAGCAGGCCAAGGACAGGGCCAATGGTTAAGCCAGGGCACCTTTGTGCCACCAAAAGTTACTGGAAAGCCGCCTGCTACATCATAGACGTCCACAGAATGTTTTATTTTACAAGACTCATGTTGTTCTTGCTTTGCCTGATGGTTCTTGTGGACAGCAGAAGGCCCAGGAGGAAGAGATGGACGGGCCAGCTGGAAGTGCCCCAGCCGAGGTAGGTCTTGGTGGGTGGGGAGGGAGGATGCTCATGGCAGCTAAGCAGCAGCTGAGCACAGTGTGCCCCAAGAAGTCCTGCCGGAGTCCCTTTCCGAGCCTGAGGTAGAGGGACCTCTACCTTACCCAAACACAAACACTCTGTCACAAGCACGGAGATGCTTATGAGATGAGGTTGGCCTTTCACTCTGATGCCTGTGTTCAGCCAAATTATTTTGGCAGATGGTCAAAGACTCAATGGGGGAAAATCTTGTATATCTCGGACTGAGCTGCTCTGTTTCTCAGGACCACGTCTTGTAGGGACCAGAGAGGCCAGCTAGAGAACTGCAGTCAAGTATTTTTTTGGGGGGTAGGGGAAACAGTGTAGAAATTTAGCCTAAACTAGTAACAAAAGATGTAGGGCTGGGGTGTAGCTCAGTGGCAGAATATTTGCCTAGCATATGTGAGGCCCTGAGTTAGATTCCCCAGTACCACAAAAAGAAGTAAAAGGAGAAAATGTAATTGAATATTGCTTTCTTTCCATTATTTGATAGGGAAGAGCTTTATCATGATACTGGGTTTTATTATACTTGAATCTTATAAAAAAGTGTTTGAATTTGTCAGGTTAGCAGTTATGTCTATGTGTGTGACCCTTTCATGGATACTGTGGAGACATTTCCAAGAAATACTGGCTTAGTTCTGAATTTGCATTTAAAACCACTACATTACAAATCTGAGTTCCTTAGTAAGTTAGTTTGTACAAAGCATAATTCCCTAGGCAGAGGCAGACATAAGGGCCGTAAGGCACGAACAAGAAAAGAGCAGGCAGCTAAGATACAAATGCCAGGTGTGGGATGTTACACACCCATTTTCCATCGTAAGCATTGAGGGAACTACTGACTTTAAATATAAACTAATGATGGCACTTTGTGCTTGTGTTCAGTGCTGGGAATTGAACCCAGGACCTCTAGCAGACTAGGTTAGCCATCTACCATCGAGTTACACCCCCAGCACTAAAGCATTATTTTGAGGCAAGTTTTCCAGGGTCAGGGTTCTCCCAACATTTTTTGATCACACACTGCTACCAGTAACATATTCTGGAAAAGCTTCCTCCAATATATGTGTATTTACAAATGATACACGTGTACTGTTACAAATATGTGTATTAAATTTAGGCTTGACTGCTCCCAATTTTTAGGAAGCAACTAAAGATAAATAAGTGTTACAAGCTCTACTCCTGGCACCCCAGTGGATTCTGCTGTTCTGGGAGATGGAAATGCGATCGGAGGACCAGTCCCCTCAGCAGCACAGACCCAAATCTTCCAGGTGGTAGAAGGGCACTGTCCTGGAGGACTTACACTGGCCATGTGGCCAGGAGCGTAGGCTGGAACTGGAAGTGACCTTGGAGGTCACCTGGTGCAGAAACTCCCTTGAGTTCTAACCTTGGGAAATGTGAAGAAGTGTTGTATGAAAAGGGGGCTCTAGGGTTGATGGAGATTGGGAAATTCTGGGTTCAGCCATTTTAAGCCATGTCTTTACAGTAGAACTTCTAGAACATTCATGATGCAAAATAGGCATGGTGAACCTTGAAGAGGGTGTAGATTGCTATCCCAGGGAGCACACTCTGGAAAATTGCCCACATGGCTCATTTTACAGATGCATAAACGGGGCTCTAGAACATGGGTCAGTCACATGACTTGTGGGTGGCACTACAGGGCTGGAATGTAGGTTCCTCACTTAAACCAAAAGCATTATCTGAAGCTATCTGTTCTCTGAGAATGATGCAGGGTTCAGTGAGCAGCCCTGCTGGCCCAGCATCTGTCACTTCGCAAAACACCTGGAGCCTCATTTCCAGACACGTGTGATTGTTTTCTTTACTTGCCCACCAAGGCCCTAGTCCCTTAAGATCTGGAAATAAGCCCAATGTGGGCCATGGGAAACTGGCCCCTCTAGATCCTGGCCCCTCTGTCATTTTCCTTTCCCTTCTGCTGCTTCCTTGGGACATCTGCTCTTGCTCATCCTTCTCTGGATTTGCGTCACGGTTCTGTTTCACTGGACCCAGGAGCAGCTTTGGCCTCCTGCCCCCCAGTGACCCTTACCTATGGCTGAGGGTCCTAGGAAGGAAAAGGGAAGCCAGGTTTGGAGCAGTTCTGCTGCTCTCTGGCCATGTGGCTGTGTTCCTGATCTTCTGAACCTCAGTTTCTCCAGCTGTGATGATGGTGTGAGGTGTGTCTGAAGCCTGCGGCTTGGTGCCTGTGCTGAGAAGGGTGCAATCTGGGGGCATGGCAACTATGATCAATATTATTGCCAAATAAACCACAGCATGATGGCTCCATCCCTGCTTCCACAGGCACGGAGATCACAGTTTTCTTCTTCCAAAATGCCGGATTTGAGGTCACCTGAAGGTTCTGGCTGCCCTGCTGTGGGGTGGAGCTAAGAGGCTGGGGTCTAAGGGCCCTGGCTGTCCACCAGGTCCCAATCATGCCTGTGAACTGATGAAAGGAAGGAGCTCAGCCACACAAATAGCCCAAGACTCAGGATCTTAGTGGTTTGAGTTATCAAATAACGGGTCCCTTAAAAGTAATTCTGAGCTGTCAATGGCAGCAGGATTGAAATCTCCTCTCCCCTACTAGGGTGGTAGCATTGTGGGACTTCCGGTTCCTAATCCTCCCCTACATAGATGTGGAAACTGTGTTGACAGGACGGATTTGCTCCCTGTGAGGCAGAGGGGAGTGAGTTAATGTCTGTGATCTGCTAAGCCCTTGGCTGAGCTCTTCATCTGTCTTCTCTGACGTCTTTGCTGGGATGTCTGTCATGGCCTCTCACACTCACGGTCCAGAAAACTAGGCTTAGTCCTGCTGACTCCTGGAGCCAGGCTTAGGAAGAGACTAGGATGTGGAGAAGCCCCTTGGAAGTACCTGGCCATGACTATGCATGCTCCAGGGGACTGGACTGACATCCCTTGTCCAGCTCTAGGGGAGGAAGCTCAATTGGACTGTCCTTTGTGGTGTGTAAATCTGATCACAAAGCAAATCTGATCACGACTCCTTCCTCCATGTGCATAACACCTTTCATTGCTTTTCCCTTGCCTTTGGGTAGGACAGACTTCATACGACTTTCAAGGCTCTGCCTGTGGGTCCCTGCAGCCTCATTCCCTCTGCTCCAGCCACACACCTAGCCCTTCCCCCTTCTCACCTGACACCCACTCACTCTACAGCCGAGATCACTTCAAACTCGTGTGTCCACGTGGAGCCCATGTGTTGAGTTTGAATGCTGTGGATACCCAGATGGGCTGTCCAGTCAGGTAGTCAGATATAAAGGCCTAGGGACAATGACGGTATGCTGCAGACAAGGCAAGCTACTGGCATGGGTGAGCTGCCAAAGAGTGCAGGGGGAGAAAAGAAGGTTCTAGACCAGAGCTTTGGGGATGCTGACATTTAAAAGATGGGCCAAGAAGGAGGAGAGGCCACAGTGGAGCATGGACAGAGAGGTGGGGGTGCCTTGCCCTGAGAGAAACTCTGTGTTCCATCAGAGCACCCGCAGGGCCTGGGGTTGGGAGCGAAGGACAAGGGGAGTGAGAAGGTGATACTGCCTCTGAAGCCCAGCTCTTTGAGGAATGATTTGTTTATTGGGAAGAGGAAGAATTTTTTTTTTTTTTTTTTTTTGTGGTGCTGGGGTTTGAACTAAGGACCTTCACCTTGAGCCAGTCCACCAGCCCTTTTTTGTGATAGTTTTTTCAAGATAAGGTCTTTGTCCAGGCTGATTTCAAACTGTGTTCCTCCTGATCTCTGCCTCCTGAGTAGCTAGGATTACAGGCGTGAGCCTCCGGCGCCCAGCAGGAGGAAGACTATTTTTTAGGTAGAACACAGAGGATGTTTAGGGCCACAAAGCTACTCTGTATGATATTATCTAGTGGCTCCATGTCACTCTGCATTTATCCAAAACATAGATGTCTGACACCAAGAGTGAACGTGCCAATGGTGACAATGAGGTGTCAGTGCAGGTTCATCAGCGGATGTAGATAATGGGTTCTGTGTGTGTGCAGAGGCAGAGGGTGAGTGGGAACTCAGCTCTACTGTGAGCCTAAAACTCTGAAGAATAGCCTTTAATATTGCTTTGAAAAAGGACACAATGGAAGACTATAACCCACCTCTATTAGCTAGCACTTTCTATAAATTTGGCATGAAATAGGAGTTAGAGGAGGACGTGGTGGGGGGCGCGTCTAGACAAGCTTGCTGCTTCCTTTTAGCTCAAGGTGGGAGGGACAGTTCAGTTTAAAGACTGACGGGAATGAGCAGTGAAGGAGGGAGAAGCTGGGGCACAGGGCAGGGGCTGAGGGAGAGTTCAAAGGGCTCTGGGGGAAGGAAGATGGGCACTTCTGCTGAGTGCCCAATTTCCCCTGAACTTTACAGCAGAAGGATGAGAAAACAGGGAAGGGGTAACTTGAAGTCAGTAGCAGGTCAAAGGATGAGGCAGTGGTGAGCTGGAGACTGGATGGACTCAGATGGCTGCAGGAAGTCGGGCTTGCTGTTCTCTCAGGGCACATTTTCCTTCAGACCTCCCTCTAGGCCTCAGAAGCCTTCCTCAGCCACCCATGTAAGCTGCTGTCTCCCAACCCAATCTCTTTCTTACTCCTTACCCTGCTTTGTCATTTTTTATGGCACTTAGCACTTCCTGACATATTATTTATCTGTCTACTTGTTTATTGTCATCTTCCGCTCTGGGTGATAAGCCCTGTGAGCTCAGAAATTGGGGGATTGTGCCACCAGATGTGGGATGGCTGTCCATATGGATGCTGACATCCCCAAGGTTGACCAGAGGAACTGGATGAAGAGAGAGAAACAGGCTGTGCCAGAGCCCTCACTGCAAGTGGGGGAATGACTGAGAGGTCTGGATCTGTGAGATGTGGCCAGGCAGTCCCCAGAGGGCCTCTAAGCTGGAGGGCCCAGTTTACAGGAATCTATGTGGGCTAAGGGCTGATCAACATTTACATTAGCACTGACTGTGCAATAAAAGCTTGTAATTGTGGAAATGTTATATATCTTGACTGCTTAAGACAGTAGCCACCTGCCCAAGTGGCTCTTGAGCACTTACGTGTGGCTAGTGTAATGAAGAAACTGAGCATTAATTTCATTTAATTGTAATTAAAATTCAAACAGCCACATGGGACTAGTGGCTACATTACCCACAGCACATCTAATTATACCTTCAGGACAGAGCCAGTAGAGAGCTAAAGTTAAGGTTTCATAGGAAGATGTGTCAAGATCTCAAGGGAGGAAACACGTCACCTCCCTTTTACAGTTTAAACAGGAAACACACCTGCTTCTCTCAAAGTGAATGAAGTGTGACAGGGATGTGAAGGGCAAAATAGGGGTAGACACAAAGGAAGAGCAAACAGTCAAAAGAAATACTTTTCATTCAGTTCTAAAAAGCCTTCACTCTACTGCACATGGCAAATCACAGAGGCCCTGAGAAAGCCTCTGGTTCCGTCCATGTGTGAGTCTCGCCATTACACATAACGGTCTGCACCAACAGGCGTTCTGGTGGCTCTCAGGAGTCTGCCAAAGGTGTCTGGTTAAAGTCTATCCTAATGGTTCTCAACATTGCTGTACCCTGGAATGGCCAGGGGCTTTTAAAATGCTCCCAGCACCAAGATCTCCCTCAAAACAAATCCATTCAAATCTCTGGAGGGCTTTGGGATCAGTAGTTTGAAAACCTCCCCAGGTGATTACAGTCGTAGCTAGACTTGAGAATTAACTAGTCTGACAACACAACACCAAGCCAGATAAAGCTTATGAACATTAAGGTATTGCTTGATCTACAAAAGTTCAGCGGGCACAGTGGTTCTCAGCCCTGGCTGCATGGGAATCGGCTGGGGAACTTTTAAAATGCTGATGGCAGCTGGATGCTCCCAGGTGTGTGGACTTGACTGGTTTAAGTGTGGCCTGAGTATCCGGATTTTTGAAAGGCCCAGGTGATCCTAATGTGCAGGTAAGGCTGAGGACCCTCTGGTTTAGAGACAACTTTGACTGAATATGCTAGAATAGAATCCCTTTACATTCCTATTTCTTGCTCAGTGACAATCTTGTCAGTCGATAATTACTTTAGATAGCTCAGATATGATTGCTTTAGCATGGTGTATGGGTTGTGCTGAAGAAAATATTCTGGGAATATGAAAGAGGGTGAAGAGAGAATCACTCCTTTGTGTAGAGAGGAAGGGACTAAACCAGCTGCATCCTGGGCTCCAGCTCTGGCTGCCACCACTTGTCCTGCTTGCTGGGTGTCCAGAGTAATGTGCCCACCACTCACGTGGCCCTGACCTCTTGGACCCCTGCCGGCAGTGGAGAGTATCTGTTTTGGGGCTGGAGACTCTCCCTCAGAGCAGGCCTGCCAGACCTGCCACCTGGGCTGGCCAAAGAAGCACAGGGTCTGGCTACGACAAAATCAGCATTTTAAAACTTTCACTGCATTTGTCTCAGAAGTCTATTTATCACAAAGACCAATATCATAATAATGTGAGAGAAATTTTAAAAAGAGAAAAAAAAATGATAATCCCCCCATCACTCAACCCAACCATTTTCCTCCAATCACAACTTTTGGCAAGATAATTAAGACCTTGCCAGATGGAATGTTGTTCTGCACAGGAGGGCATCTGCTTTAGGAAGGTTCTAGAAGGGCCTGGGACTCAGGTGGGCCTTCCCGTGAGGGTGTGGGGTGATGGCAGGATGGGGAAAAGGTGACTAACAGGTAGGTTCTGCAGAGAGTAAGCCGATCAGTGTCCTGGGTGGGTAGAAAGGCATTTCTGTTTGTCTTTGCAGTCACTTACATAAAAAGAACCTCGATGTGACCAAAATCCGAGCAGGAAAACCTCAGCCTCTTCTCCGAGTGGACAACCATGACTTCACCATGAGGCCGGGTTTTGGAGGTAGGACTGCGCCCTGCCTTCACTGCTGCCCTGTCCGGTTCTCTGAGCCACAGCCCTTCCTGGGTGGTGGGCGTGATATCCCCCTCACAGCCACACAAACCCGTCAGGGCTTCTGGAGTCACTGTTCTTCCAAGGAGAGTCAAGCCAGCAGGGAGCCGGGGAGAGGGCTGGTGACTGAGGGAGTCTGCATGTGACTCAGTTGTTTACGTGCACAAAAGAGACCAAGCTGGCTGCCAACTTTCTTTTGCTAAAAACACAAGCTTGTGCAAGGAGAGTTGGGTCACAGAACAGCTCCTTTTGCTTGGCTGCTGGTCACTAGCTGGGGACTTCTAGTGAGGGGCCATCTGTTCTCCAATGCAGCAGTAATTTTACTCATGAAAAAGCCTCTTCTCAGCCCCTTTTCTCCCCCAGTAGTATGGCCACTTGGAGGCTCAAGAAGGGGTATTTCTTAGGAACTGGAGAAATGCCAGAGGGAAGGGGCCTGTGTCTTAGTCGCTTTGAGCTGCCATAACCGAGTATCATAGGCTGCATGGCTTAGAAGCAATGCATTTATTTCTCACAGTTCTGAAGGCTGTAAGTTCAAGGTCAAGGCAGTGACGGATACTGTATCTGTGAAGTGCCCACTTTGTAGTTCGTAGGTAGCACCTTCTCCTCAGCCTCACATGATGGAAGGGTTGAGGGTGGACAGGAATCCCATTCACCAGGGGGCTCCATTCATGACCTAATTACCTCCCATCTCCTAATAACGTCACCTTGGGGGGTAGGATTTCAACATATGCATTTTGGAGGACATAAACATTCAGACCACAGCAGCTGGGAAGGAGCCAGCTGTCTGCTCTGACCAGGTAGGGAGTAAGATGAGAGTAGTGAATGCCTGGGATCCCCTGGGTCAACCCCAGTCTCGTGCATGTGGGGAAACTGAGGCCCAGAGCAAGTATGGCCAAGACAGACACAGGTGGGCTGCTTCCCTTTCTCTATTATCCCTGCCCTCCCTCAATCCCCTTTCAGGACCCATCACCCTCCAGGGGTGGTAGGAAGGAGTAGGGTGGCCTTCAGGCAGGTCACCAATCCCTTCTGAGCCTCCCTTTGCTCATTTATAAAATGGGACAGTAGTTAATCTCTATGTATTGGGCTGCCATCCAGATTAAAGAGATAATATATGTAAATCCCCTGACACATATTTGGTCATGTCCCCTCACAAAACCCAGCTGCCAGACCTTCCGCGCTGTGTGACTGCTAAGGGATTAAGAAATTAATTTATCCCAGAGGTCTTTGCATACTAAAAGTATTAGTATTTAGCATTTAGTGCTAAAAGGCACTAAATGCTCTGAGCACCGACACCTGCTAAACAGGACAAGCATGCGCATCAGATTACAGTCCCATGGCTGATTTTCCTTCCTGTCTCAGGTTTATAGGAAGTCACCACATTTCTGGTAGTTCTGGTTTCCTTGGTTTCCTTGGGGACTTGCCTTGGGCAATTCTGCCAAGGAATTTCATAATGATAAAGTTTTACTGAATGACCAGCTTTAAAATAGCTGGATCTGTTCCAGGGAGTCTAAGTGAGATGTTTCATAAGCTGGAAGCTCCATTTTTCTTTTTTTTTTTTTCTTTTTTCTTCAAGATGTAGTCTGCCTAGCCTCAAAATCACAGGACTAGAGGCTTAAGTGGTAGGGCTCCTGCTTTGCAAGTGTGAAGCCCTGAGTTCAAACCTCAGTCCCACAAGAAAACAAAACAAAATGAAATCATGATCCCCCTACCTCAGCCTCCTGGGATTACAGGTGTGTACCACCACTCCCGGCCTGTTGTTCATAATCTTATTATTGTTTTTCCAGCCACCTAGCTGATCTCTGCAGTTATGGAAAAGAAAAAGCAGATGCCCAGGAGTGGTAGCACACGCTACTAGAAAGGCCAAGGCAGGTGGATCATAAATTCCAGGTCAGGCTGGGCTACCTAGTGAGAACCTATCCCAACCCCTGCACCCTTTCAACCTTGGCCCTCCCCCCAAAAAATGAATGACAGCTACTACTTCATAGTAATTATTCTGTGCTGGACACCACTCTGACCAAGGAACTTACACATCTGACTTTTTTTTTTACAATGCTGGATGCTGAACCCAGGGCTTCATGCATGCTAGGCAAACACTTTACCAGAGTTCATAGATATAGTCTTAAAGTAATCCTCTCATCAATGCTATGAAGTAGATGCTATTATTATCGCAGGTGAGGAAACTGAGGCACAGAGAGATGGAGTGAGTGATGCGAATCACTCCTGCTGAGGCTGCTTGTGCCCTCCTGGCCAGGTCTCCTTCTATCTCCTACTCATGTGTCCTTCCATGCAGAGATGACATAGCCATCAGGCAGAGGATGCATGCTGCCTGAGGCCACAACAGTGTTAGGGCCCACAAAAGGTTTTATTTTAAAATCAGGAGAAAAAGAGGTGACATTTTGGGTAGAAATAATCTTTATACTAACACAGTTGTATATATACATATTTTCTATTTTGTGTAGAGGAAGAGGTCCATGAAGGCAGAAGGACCACCATCTTCAGAAGTCATAACATGGTCCTGCCTCATCGCACAGTTTTGTGGGGGAGGCATGAGTGTCTGCTGTGCCTTTAGTGTCCTACCTGAAGCTGTCGTTGTTCTCAGGAGCCTGAGCAATCGCCTGGTCAATACCCTAAGTAGAACAGCCTAGGATCCAGGGTTAAGTGATGGCCACAGAACAGCTGGGCCAAACTTTGGTGTTTTTTGTAATATTGGTTGCAGAACTGAAAGCCCTGTAGAAACAGTCCCTCCTTTGGGAGAAAGCAGGAGGTAGCACTGGGGAATGGCAGGTGAAGGGCCATCACATCTGCAGCCCCAGGAACTCTGGCTCAGAGCAGAATCCTGTGACATGCTGCAGCCCTGGTCAGGTGCTTCTTGCTCAAGCCACATTCAGGGAGTGACTTGGACTTCCTGTGGTCTCAGCACTGTACCTGGTGGGCCCATCAGCAACCCAGAGTGTGGAGGGTTAGGATAGTCCTCTGTCTCTGCCTGGCAAGCTTCTGACCCAGTAGGGAAGCTTCAGAGATGGACATGTCCCCTCCAGTAATTTCAGTAAGACCTGAGGCTCTTAAACATCTACTGTCAAGATCTCAGTCACTAAAACACAGAGTCGGGTCCCCACCTTCCCTTGGCTTTCTTGGATGTCCAGCTGTCACTTGGAAACAGGGAGGGGACGCACAGAGTGAGTACTGGGCTCCATGCCTCCAAAGCCCATAAACAAGGTTTGCATTGCTGAGTCCTGGGTAACCAGGTAAGATGAGGTGTCACAGGAGGGGACTTCCCATCTGTGGCTTCAATACACTGTAACCTATTATCCTAGAAACATCTGGAGGTAGCCTAGATGACTAGCCCTTCCTTGCAGATGCTCCTGATATTCCCTGTTCTACTCAGTACCTCTTCCTAGGGCAGGGAGTGCCACCCAAAGTATGGGGTGGGTCTCTGTGAGGAAGGAGGCTGGACAGACAGCACATAGGTGACTCTATGCAAGAAACAGAAGGGACCTGTTCCCGGGGGGCAGCCCCCAAGATGGCTCCCAATTAGAAGCAGAGCCCTGAGTGTGGGCCCAGCTCAGCAACCCCTTCCTCTGGCTCCCACAACACTAAGCAAGACACTGAGCAAAGATATCCTGCAGAAGCAAATTGTTTTGGGTCTGTCTTTCCCATCATACATCTCAAAGATGGACTTCCTTATGGATTGATGTTTAAAAGTAATTGATAGAAAACAGTTTGTCTAAGACTAGGTACTCCTTTAATGACTTTTCAGTCTGGGAAGAGAAAAGATAAAAAATCTAGCAATTTCCTAATCCCAGGGATCAATTGAAACAAAAATGCCTTGTTTAAGCAGCCAGCGGCCGGATTTGGTTGTGCACCCAGGTTAGAACTTGCAGAGTCCCAGGGTTTCTCCTCCCCTTCTTAAGAGAAGCATTGCAATCTGACTTCTTAAAATTAAATTAAAAAAATTTTAAGTTGTGAAATTTTGGGGAGGAGGGCCCTGGGATTTGATTCCAGGGCCTCACATATGCTAAGGACAAGTTCTACCACTGAGGTACATCCCCAGTTCTGTGGTGAAACATTGTAGACCTTAAATTTATACAGTTTTGTCAGTCATAACACAAAAGAGCTGAAAATGAATAAACTTTTGGTGAAACACACATAACAAAATCGTAACCATTTTTAAGTATACAGTTCTAGTATTAAGCGTCTTTGCATTGTTGTACAACCACAGTCACCATCTATTTCTAGAACTTTTTTCATTTTTCCAAACCGAACTCCATCACTATTAAACAATAACTCCCCATCCCTCCTGTGAAACTCATGATGACCATTATTCTACTTCTGTCTCTCGATTGTGACTATCAAAGATACTTCATGTAAGTGGAATCATACAGTTTTTGAGTAGTTTTTGTGACTGGATTTTTCACCCATCATAATGTCTTAGGAGTTCATCCATGTTCAAGCCTGTGACAGGGTTTTCTTTTTAAGGCTGAATAATCTCCCACTGTACGTTTGTACCACATTTTTGCTCATCTTTTCATTCACAGGTAGACATATGTGTTGTTCTACACTTTGGCTCTTGTGAACAATGTTGCCATGAACAATGGGTGTATAAAAATCTGTTTGAGAACAGGCTTTCAATTCTTTTGAGTACATATCCACTAGTGGAATTGCTGGGTCACATGGTAATTTTATATTTTTTGAGAAATTGCTATACTGTGTTGCACAGTGGCTACAGCATTTTATATTGCTGTGAGTGCAGTGCTGATTTTTAATCCAAACTGTACAGATGAGCTAGAGGGAGGATATGGAAACATCAAGGATTCTATTGAAATGTATCCAAGTAATTTGTTGGAATGGTCAGAAAAAATGGTGGCAATAAATAGGTCAGGTTCTCCAAGTAAAACGCTTTTGTCTGTAAGACAGACAAACACTTTTGAAGCCACTACCTGAAAATGCTCAAA